CTGGGAAGTTCCTCTAGCTGCTGAAATATAGTACTATAGCTCTTTACATTAATAGATACATAGATACATATATATACACATACATACATACATACATACACAGATATATCCAGCATATCATTCCTTTGGGATAGAATACAGAGCACAGAAAAGGAATAAGAAACCCTAAGTCAAAGAAATTAAAGGCACGAGATACAAACAAGAAAAAGAAACATAGCTAAAACCAGTTTACACAAACAACATTCATTATACCTCTCCATAGCTTTATAATCTTGCAAAGATCCTTGCTTCCATTACATCACAGCACACATTGCCTTTTGCTCTTGAAACTTCTCACCTCTTTCTTGTTGAGGATCTCATACACTCCATCTATCCATCCATCCATCCATCCATCCATCCATCCATCCATCCATCCACCCACAACTTTCTCTTGATCCATTCACTCTTTCATCATATATCCATTTTGCAATTCTGTCCTCCCATTTTCTCTACATGACTGAACCACCATCTACTTCTTTCATACCGGTTTTACAGTGAATCCAAGTTCATACAGCACCCATTCATACTTGATCCTGTCTCTTCTTCCTTTATCTCACATACCCGAGTGCTGCCTTCACACTGCATATCACTTACTTTTATGACATCCCCAATTCTCACTTCCATATAACAAAGTAGGTAGAATCACACTCTTAATATACAGCCATTTTCACTTCTTTGACAAATGTTCATTTCTTGCAACAGTTCACATACTACGCCCTACCTCTCTATCAGCATTTGCACATCTTAAAATGTCTCCAATCCTTTTCCCCTTCTTTAATAAATGTTCTATCAAGGTACACATATTCCTCTATTTGATCTAGGTTTTTGCCATGAATGTTTTACCTAGATGAGTTTATTTATTTATGGTATTTATATACTGCTGACTCCCAAAGAACTCCCTGTCAGTTTTGTGGTGTCAGACACATCTAGCTTGATTTTCGATAGATGATTTTTCAGATCCATACCCTTCATTGCCTCACACTCTTTGACCAGGTGGGTATTTCAGATTGTATCTGCCTCACAGTGAGCAGTGGGCTTAGCTGTTGTATCTGCTGGGCACTGTGTTTCCCACATGGTTATTTATTTATTTTTAGCCATGGAAGTTTGTCCCAGTATAATCTGGTAGAATGAGCACTTGGACAATGTGGCAATTCACGCTGACTCTAACTCCTCCATGATGTGGGTGCTGATAATTGCCATGGACCTCTTCCTCCAGAGGAAGGGGGAGAACAAAGGAAAGAAAACAGGTGGAGGGAGGGAATGTCCAATATGGACATCCCCCAGGATTAGAACTAGTTTTCCTCCCACTCCACCCTCTTCTCGGAACAGAAAAGAGACTGGTTACTAAGCAACAGAGTAGGAGAGAGAGTTTAAAAAAAAAAATTAAAAAGCCAAAAGACATGCAGCAGAGACAGATGGGAAGAGTGGAGAGAACCAGGGGAGGAAGCTTGTGTGAGGATTGAACCAAACATTGCTGAAAAGGGGAACTGCAGTTTCTGTTTGATGTTTGATGCCTGGAACATGATCGTGCCCCTCTCTCTGATCAAAAGAGAGGAGGGACAACAGAGAGGAGGGGCAACTGACTGCCAGCCAGAGGTCTGAAAACAGAAGCATGGTGAGATGGTGCCAGGACCTAAAGAAGCACTCTGCATCGACCCATGGTGTAACATCCCTCTCCTTTCTCCCACTCAAGTGGCTGAAGATCCAGAGAAGCACCATCTTCCTGGAGGAAGAGGTCGTCAAGTATGGCATCGGCTCTTCAAGGAAGATCTCTGCCAACAGAAAAAGCTGTTTTGGGAGGCCAGTGCCATCTTGCATGGCAATCCCTTGCCACTCTGGGAGGTCAGTGAGAGAGAAGGCAATGACAAGGGGGCTCCTTGCAAAGAACTGGAAAGGATTGTGGGACTTAGTTTTTAGTGGCAGGCTCTCCACCTTGAAAGTCAAGGATCCAAGCAATTTGAAGGAAGAGTTTCAGCTAAAATCACTTTGCTGTGTCAGGCAAGGAGCAAGCTGGCATCCTCTCCTCTGAACAAAAACAATCAGAATGGTGGTTCTTCTCCAAATCTGGCTTATCTTTCAGATTTATAATACTTGTTCCTTTAGTGGCCTTGATATAAACGTCTTAGCATACACACATTTTATGCCAACATCTATCCTGATCTCTTCTCTGTTTTGGGTATCCATAACCTACCACCCTACAGCTGCTTCTGGAAATAAATCCAAGTGACACAATGGGCTTTATATTTTTAAAAATGAGAACATTATTATGGGAGTCTTAGCTGTAACTTTGATGCCTTCTAGTGAGGCTTTTTGAACCTATTTCTTGATTCCCTTAGAAGACTCTAATCAGGTCATTTTCAATATCAAGTCAGCCCTTTTCCCATCCCCTGCTCCCCTTGCATCATTCCCACTTTATTGTTGTTGACAATATCTTTTCTGATGAAAGGACCTGGCAACCTGAAAGCTTAACCAAAACTTTGTACATTTTTGAGTTTGTTCTTTTTGAGTTTACTGTTATAAAGGTGTTGCTTATGAGCCAATATGATTTACTTGGTTGTTGTGTTTTATGGTGAAAAGGTTATTTTGGAATTAAACTACTGTACCAATTGTCAATTCTTTTTTAAGCATGACACCTATTGAAGATACACTCCATCTTAATCATTATATAGATACACTATTTTATATTCAAAGTGCTTCCTGATATTTATTATTTCAACTATATACCACCAAATCTTGTGATTCTTGGTGATTATAAAGCTTTTCAGATACTGGGTGCCCCCCACCAAAACGCCTGAAATCTGATGGGATGCCCAAATTCTATGATACTTTGGTGATCTTGCCTTCCAATTTTTAAAACTGATTTTGTGGAACCACAAGAACTGATTTGGAGAGAGACTTCCTGCCTCTTGCAAGATCTTTGTTGCTGTCCATCAGAAAGTACTGTGAAGTTCTGTTTTTATACCATTAGTGGGTATTTTGTTGTTGCAAAGGGAAAACAAAAAGCTGCAGTTGGCTACAAACAGAAGACAAGCTTCTGAGCTTCTCGTAAAATGTCATTTATAAGGCAGGGTTGATTGCCCATTAAAAGCTTCCTTTGGAAGCCCCCTCAGATTCAGGGAGCTGGCAGAAAGTGGTGGTTTTCTACGAATGGTGCCTGCAGACGAGTAGAATGAACTTTCTAATTCTATCCCAGGTCAGCATCTATAATTGAAGCAAAGCGGTCAAGGTCTATTTTATGAATGCATCACCTTCAAGCCCCCCAATAAATCCACACTTGTTTGTGTTGTTTAAAGTCCTGCTTTATTAAAGTAACTGTTGTTGTCCATGGTAATGGCAGTTCTTGTTCACTCCCCTTCTATCTCCAGTCATTTACATTCACTTGAAAACAGAGACCCAAACATTCATATATATATATATGAATGATTCTCCTTAGACAAATTCTCAGCTGCCGCTAAGAAGAAAAAGACAGAAACTCAAGCAGACTATTTTGAGCATGCAGGTCGCCAGAGCTGTGAGTGGCCTGCATGAACAGTAATGTAAAGTTCTGTGTTCCGGCAACCCAAATTGTAAGTAAACCTGAATACTGCAACTGCCTTGAATTGTGCTAGTTGGTCAAATTTGCATAACAGTTCATATTTTGCATAAATTTTGGCCAGTTTGACTGCTTTGCATAATGTATTCTCAATTTATCCTAATTTACTCTCATCAGAGGGAAAACCTGTAAGACATTGCAGGACCCTGAAGCCCCAACTTTTCAAATCTCATTTAACAGCAATTTCAAATTATTTCAGGAAGCACTGCCCCTAGGCACATATCTTCACAGCCCCAAAGGCCAGAAAAATCCTGAAAAGGAAATAAAACATTAAGAAAGCAGACTCTCAGGAAGATTAATTTTGCAGACAAGATGTTCTTCTGAATTCCTGTGGAACTACCAGGTAGGGTCCCTAAACAGAGTTAAAATAAAAGCCTTAAATGCAGATCACTAGAACACCTTGGACATCTTTTAAGCACACCCACAATTTATTGTCTGACCATATTCATGTACACATAGTGGTTAACTTGATTTTAAGTAATCAGAGACATTTTTGAAATGGCCAAGTCTCCAGTTTTCTTCCTAGTTACATTTGTTGAGTAAGAAACAGAAAAATTGTCCCTCTGTAACAGATTTTTTTTTCCTGCAATGCTCAGAGGTTTTATCTTTTTGTTATGACCTCATCCCATGTGATCCTGGAATTGAGCTGAAAATACTGAAAAATTCCGGACTGAAATTTGGGGAATTGAACCTGGGCACAAATTAACCCTTGCAGGCAGGTACTAAGCAGACAATGCCTAGTACACACATTCGCAGGTCTAGTTGCTTTCATGCAAGTATTAAGGCACACATACACACTCAACATTTGTACAAATACAGATACAAAATGCAGAGCTGCTCTATTTTCTCCCACAACCAAAGACCGGTTGTGTAACAACCAATATTTCTGCTCCTAATACTTATATCTTCCCACTGTGATTCTGTTCCAAAGCTTCTCCCCCACCATTTTTATTTCTCTCTGCCTAAAATCTGAATGAACTGCAGAGTGATTGAATGAGGCCCTTTGGAGGTGATGAGAGCATCTGTAGCTTTGGGAATAATGGGAGAGTTGAGGTTATCATACAAACATTTGAACCTGCTCCAATTCTGGACTTGGTACAGCACTGGAGATTTTTAAGAGTCCCAGAACTGGAGCTTTTGGGATTTGTTCTGGTGATATTAATTCCTAGCATTAAAAAAGTTTAAAGTTGCAGATTCTTGAACCTATTTCTGCAGTTCCTGTACCACCAGACCTAGTCAAGGTTCTTTAAGATATCTCTAGAGGTTACGTTTGTATAAGCTGTAACACTGATTCCTTGATTCTATGGTTCATCCTGGTCTCAGCAAGAGAGAGCTGGGAAACTTCATT